TGCCGTTTTTATCTTATCGATATATATCGATGTTTTGCTATTTATCGATATGTATCTATATAAAAAATTTTCTGATGCTTCTTGTGTAATTTGGATTGGCATGCTGAAATAGCAACCCAACCCAAACCCATTTTCCTTTTCTTTGGTTCTTCTACTGGGTTTAGCAATGAGCCATCTGTATAGAATATAATACGCCTTCTTTCTTTTAATTGAGATGCCACTTTTCTAATCTTATTTATAGCTTGTGTATCTTCAAGAGCCTGATTTATAATCTCTTTTTCTAGTGGATAAATAGGTATATTCTCTACTAAATATTCTCATATGCCTCTTGTTGTGCTTAGGCTTTCCACAAGTTGCTACAATGTATTTATAATACTACTAAGTAGAGTGACTAATTCCCATATCTGGTTTTGAGTAAATACCTTTTGTACTATCTTTGTGGGAATTCTCTGTATCTTGTTTTTCTTTAACCTTCTCATACAAGATGTTTCATTTCTTGAGCAATTCGTTGAACCGAAATCGCAACCTCTGCATTTAACTAGTTTAACTATTATTTCTTGCAGGTCTTCTCTATATTTCTAGTGTTCTACTAAGATAGTTTTTTTTCTCTTTTTCTTTACAATTTTTCCTATTACTATCTTGTTCTTGACCTTGAGAAGTACCTATTCTTTTTTTCTTTTATCATTACTTATTAATGATAACTCTATTTTAGGGGATAGCCAATTGGGTGTTTTGGTTCTAAACTTCACTTTGATTTCTCTGTTAACTAGGTTTTTAATTATCTTTTCTTCAAGCTTCTTGACCCATACCGGAGTCTTTCCCCTTGCTTTTTGCCTCTTGTATTTTTTGATCTGGCCCCAAGTAAGCATTTTCTGCCTTGTACTATCTAGAATCTGCTCTACCACCAAAATACTAGTTTTTTTTTCTTGTAAAAAACCTTTAATTGTTTTTTTATCTAGAAAGTTTATGATTTTTGATTTAGCTTCTATAAGCTTTAGACTTTTTTTCTTTTTCTCTGAATTTTATATTTATATTTATATTTTTTGCTTCATTCAGAATTTTATATACAAGGTTTTGTTTGAGCTTAATCTTGCTGCATCTAGACTTGTTATACACTAAGTGCTTTTATAATTTATCTGAGCTTGTTGAATTTTGATCCACGTAGCTTTACTGATTTCATTGTTTTTATTTATACGTTTTTTTAGCTCTGTGATATGATGGGCCATCTGATTCTGCCAGATTGTTTTAAGGCCGATTATATTTTTATGTACTAAGATTGCATTTGCCGTGGTGCTAGCTAAGCCGGATTTATTTTTAATTAGCTTTAGGATGGGTTTTGAAGTTTGTCACATTGCTCTCTTAGAATAATACAATGTTATAAGTGGTACTCCAACCTTGGAATAAGTACTCTTTGTTGATATAGACAAGTTGTATTAATGAGGTGTTCTTCTTATAGATTGCTATACTGATTGCTTGTATTTCTTTCTTTGCAATGCTTTTAATATATAACTGACTAAGTTTTTTGGATAGCTAAATACCGAGAAATCTTGTTAGCTCGCTTGCTTTCTTTTCAAATATTTTTGCTTTCGGTGTGCCAAATTCTATAAATCTAGGCTCCTTTATTTTTTTTCCATCTATTATTAGCAGCTCTGATTTCTTGTTATTGATTTCGATATCATTTATTTTATAAAACTCTTGCACTATACTAATCGTTTCTTCTAGTTCTTCTCTACTAGATGCTACGAAGGTTGTGTCATCAGCGTACGCAATTACAGAAATCCTTAAACTTTGTTGCCAAGTGCGATTTCTACTCAGATCGCTTGGCCAGTTCATCTCGAGTTCGTAGTCCTGTCTTTTGTTCTCTTGAATCTCTGTCAGTAGAGGGTTGTAAAATATCCTCTATACAAGGGGGAAAATCACTTCTCCCTGATCAATCTCATTCCCAGCTACAAATCTTTGGATAGTTTCCAGGTTTGTTAGAACCTCTATTTCGCAGTTATCAAAAAGATTTATTATGAAACATGTGAGTTGCTTTGGGATTTTAATTCTTTGTAGTGTGATTGTAAGCATTTTTAGCCCCACAGAGTCAAATACCTTCTTTATATCCTGAAATAAGAGCTATATTTCTTTTTTCTTTTTCTTTACTTTCTCTACTAAGCAGTTAATAAGATGTACTGGTGCTGCTATACTCTCTCTTGGGAGGCCCGCGAAATTCCTGCCTTTTAGTACTTCTTTTTTATTTAGAATTTTTGCTAGCCTACTCTTATTACCGTTTTTTGAAATGATTTCAACAGTAAGATTGGTTGCATATTGTTTAGGTTGTAACACCAATCTTTCATCTTGAGTATTGGGTACAAGATACCTAGCTTCCACTTTTTTGGCATGATACCTTCTTCTATACACCTAGAAGCAAAATCAAGGAAGAACCTTCTTGACGTAGAACTTGTGTTTCTTATCAGTAGATATGTAATACCTGTTCTTCCTGGGCTAACTTGGTTTTGACCTGTTCCAAAGCCTGCTCCCATTTAGCTGGACTGATCTTATTTGTAGTATCTTTATACCAAGACTCATCAATATCTTCTTGGGGAGCGTACTGGTTTTTCCATCTTGCTGGCATGTTCTCTATCTGTATTATATTTCTTGTACAAAATTGCTTTTCGAAATGTTCTTTGACCTCCTTTAATACGTCTTTTTGCTTATAAATTAGTTCTGCTTCTTCTGTCTTCTTAACCACTCTGTCAATTTTGATTTTCCTGTGAGGTCGGTCTAGAACCTATTGAGTATTTTCCATTGGTTGGTAACAATTATACTGTGCCTTAATACTTCTGATTTTTTTATACCACTCTTTGTGCAGTATTTTTGCCCAGTTTTTAAGACCTTCTGGGCTTAGTACATCTGTTTCATCTTCTATGTCATTAACAACCAGAGCCTTAACCTTTTCTAATGCACTAAGTATGTTGTTTTTGACTGTGTTTTGTAGTGGTCCTTTTTTCACTTTACAGTAGCCTTTGTTACATGCTTTTACTGCCAGTTTTAGTGCTCATACTTCATTGCTTTCTTTGCTAATTTTAAGGATTTCTGGTGATTTTTCTCTTTTCAGAAGACTTGTGTTTGCCGCTGTTCTGATGCATTCTTTGATTATATCCCATTCCTTATCTATGTTTTTGGGTTTGTGCTTGTTCTAGTAGTCTTTTATCTTATTTTCAAGACTCTCTCCATATTGGATCCAATTCTTTTTAGAGGCCTTACTTAAATCTAAATTGACTCTTTTTCTGTTTTCACATCTTCTCTTAGCTGCTCCTGTTTTCTTTATTTTGAGTTCAGTAGCAATACTTGCTCTTATCAATTTGTGATCACTTATAGTGCAGAGATTCATATCATTGACCTTGGTATTAATTATACTATTTTTCTATCTATCTGATACTTATATATAGTTAATTCTAGTTTCTGTCTTTTTGTTTGACCAGGTTGGAGTGCAGGCTAAATCTTGCACATCATATATATTCTTTTCTTTTAAGAGCGCTACAATTTGTTGTTTTATTTTGGCCTTGGAACTTGTACTTTTCACTTTGCTATCTGCTCGGTCTGGTGTAATAACATTAAGATTTTCCAGGATTATAAAATGTTGCAGCTTTCTGCTGGGTTTTTCTAAAGTATCTCTGAGCATATGCAAAATCTCTTCTTGTCTTGTTTTATTATTTGGAGCAATGTATAGAAATATTATAATTATTACTAGGCCTTTAAAGTCCAAACTAAGCCTTAAAAAATATGTGTTGTCTTGTAACATATGTGTGATGTGTTGTTCCCAGTGCTTCTTAATTAGCACCCTCAGGCCTGATCCTTTTTTCTTATTCTCTTCTGAGCTTGCCTAAAAACTTTTATATATCTTTGTATCTTTTATTGCAAAAGTATCTTCTATATTATTGATGTTGTTTTCTCCTAGACCCAAAATGTCTATTTTCTTCTCTTCTGCAAAGTCTATTACTGCTCTTAGCTTGTTTTTGTTATTTTTTATCCTATTAATATTATGAAACCCAATATTTAATACCCCAAATTGTTCATATGTTGCAACTTTTTTCTTATCTACTTTGGAGAGCCTTCTTTCTGGACCTTCTTCTAGCGGCTCCCTTTCTTTATCCTTTCAGAGTTCAGAGTGATTATTTAATGCGCCTTTGGCACCCTTAGGAGCAATAAGCTAAGGTACCACCTGCTGAAGGCCCCTTTTGATTTTCAAGCTTGTCAAGTCGGTCTAAAATTTTTGACAGCATATTGTGAATTAAGTTGTTGTTTTCAGGGTCTGGGTTATCTGTATGTTTTGTTTTCTTTTGGCTTTTGGGCAGTCGGTTTTCTTTTTCATAATCTTTCTTTACTGAATTACTACTGTACTCTGCTAATTTTATTGTATTTCTACTGGTTTTTTGTGTAAGAGACTTATTAACTTTGGGTTTTCTTTCCTCTTTGCCTAATAAGCCTAAACCTTCTCTTTTTCTTTTAACTTCTATAATACTAGACCCTTCTATTTCTTCTCTTTCTTTTCTCTTTTTGTATCTAGTGGATCTTGCAGTTTGGTTTTCTTTGTAGAGTTAGTTGCCTATATAGCTTCCTCTTTCATATTTCTCTGCCAGGGTTTGCTATTCAAGTCTAGTATTAAAATAGTATAGGCCTGCACCTTGAGCTTGTAACATATCTTCTTTTGATTTAAAGTATATAAATGCCCTTTTGTTGCAGTTACCATGCCGGTTCTCTGAAGTGTGGACTGCCTGTATCTTGTATTTTTTTAATTGCTGTAGAAGTAAACTATCATATGCGGTTCTTGGAACGTTATAAATTATGCTTTTAAATCTGTTTTTTTTTTCAAGCTCGGTATGGTTGAATTTGCCTGACATTGTTCTGTACATCCTACTCAATGCGTTCTCTCAACTTTCTATATTGCATATTATTTTAATATATACTGCTTTTGTAGAAAAGCTATATTGCCAGGCCATGATTGTCACTGAGCCAAAAAATTCTAAGTAGTTCTTGATTTTATTCCCACTCACTTCTTTTGGAATGTCCCATAGTGTAAATGAGTATTGTGACCTAATTGTATTCTTTTTGGTGTCGAATTTCTCTCTTGGTGCCCAGGCTGAGTTATATATGAGAACCCCTATAGCAAAAGAAGGCATTGGGCAAAAAATTTTGATTTTGTAATTTTATAAAAATTGCATTTTTAATATTTCAATTCTTCGAGAAATTAAGTTTAAAATTTTTTTTGCCCAATGCCTTTTTTTGCTATTGGGGTCCCCTTATATCCTCATAGCTTTTAGATCTTTTATTATACTTTTTGGCTTCTAGTTCTTTATTGTTAAATGCCCCTTCAGCAATTTTCTCTTCGAGTTCATAGTCTGTAGTGCTATACTCACTTTTGACTAATGCCTTTATTTTAATCTCGAGATTGCCTTCGGCTATTTGTTCATTAGTTTTATGCTCTGAAAAATTTCTTTTACATGTAATGCCTTGGTCTTTGGCCAATATAGTTTCATTTTGCTGAGATTCTTCTAACTTGAGATCCGTAAGGCTAGCCACTATTGAGATTGTTTTGGAGTCTCTACTAGTATTCAGATTCTGTAAATTTTTTAAAGTAGTGTTGCATTCAAGTAGGTTTTTCTCTTCAAGAGATATTTCTTGCTCTCTAATTTCTTTGTGTTGGGCCCAGTTGTAAAGATGTAACACGTTGTGTAGTATAGCTATTAAATAAGTATTCTCTGTGTTTAGATACTTAGTGATATATCTGTCCTCTTTTAAAACTATTGCATGCAGTCTACTATATAATGCTAGTTTCTCTTTTTCTGTTTTCTTGAAGAAGTTTTTGTATTTTTCTAAATCTGTCATCTCTTATGCTTTTACTTAACATAATTTGTATAGCACCTAATTGTGAAAAGTGTTTTACATGTGAAGATACCTACTATTAATTAGAAGAAAATATATTAAATCATTAAATCAAAAATCCATTATGGATTTTTTTTTATCTGTTTATAACCAATAACAAGGTTATTATTTTTTTTTTTCTGTTTAATAGCAGGTTTTTTTTTTTATATTTTGAATATTTAAAACTATATAAGTAATATTTACCAAATTGAAAATTTGTACATATTTAATATATATAAAAGGTAAAGTTATTTAAGTGCTATCAAGGAAAAACCCAAATGCTGGCTTTAAAATATATTTTGTATCTAAATTTCAATCATGTTATCTTGACAACTACTGCACCAAGTTCAATAAAAAATTTTTTATTTGAATTCTACAAATATATAGAATTCGAATAAAATTTTTATCAAATTTGCTGCAGTAGTTGTCAAAATAACATGACTGAAATTTAGATACAAAATATAATTTAAAGCTAGCATTTGGGTTCTTTCTTGATAGCACTCATTAAATTATTTTACAGCATATTATTTTTACTAATTATAAAACTTTATTTTTTTCCTAAACCATCAACAGCAAATTACAGTATTGTGCTTCTTATAAACTATCAATTTATTATGCTCTTCTATATCATCACTAGACTAGAATTATTGTATCAATGTTGTGAAGAATTGAAATACTAGGACTTTTTAGAGTTTCTTTAGCATTTTATTTAATAAAATATTCTCTTATAGCTTTAGTGAAAATTTAGTCAATGTTTTTTATATAAATTAAATATTGAATTATTTAATAAAATAAATATAAATGTAGCAAATAATATATCTTATCCAACAAACTCATATGATTATGAAAAACTTTCTTTCTGTTATTTTTTTTCATGTGTTACGATATAATTATGTTTTTCAATATTCAAAAAAATAACCTTAGTGAGTAATTTTTTACCAATCAAAATTAATAATATGTACATATTTATAAAAAATAAACTAACAAATTATACTTTCTGGCATCTCTTGCTAGAAGGTTTTTTTAAAAAAATAAAAATAAAATAAAATAAACTAAAAAAACCTGAAATTTATAAAATTTTTATTGTATAACAGGTGCTTAAATTATTTAAAAGAAGTTAGAAATAGGTTATTTTATATTGTACAGTTCTAGTGAGAAGTTGCTTGGTGCTTGTTTTGTGATCTTACAAATTTAATTTGTACTAGTGTTATAGAATGAATTAATTATTAGTTTATTATTTTATTATTTATTATTTATTATTTATTAATTATTATCTTAGAATATTATTATTAT